TTCAATGGCTCACTAGTCAATAATTGTATAATGTCATATAAATTACATAATTATTGAAATATGAATATTCAATAAATAGATCACAAACAGTATATACAAATTCACTCTCGGAAAGGTTGGTAATTATATATAAGGAATAATTAGGTAATATTATATCAGGAGCAAACATTTAAATCACGGATAATAATGATAAAACTGTCTTTTTTATCTTATTAACAAGACATATTGGCATCTTGAACCTAGTTATAATAAGTACAATTAAGAAATTATAAAATGAAAGCAACATATCTCATTTATAAAGTATTGCTATTCTTTTTTTGTACACTCATACCCGCCGTATATTTAGAGAATATAACATTTCATTTAATATGTATTTAAACCACATTATAAATTACAAAAATGTCCAGATAACGATCAAAAGAGGAGTTTATATAACCCATGGGAGAGCGCAAGGACTTTACTTTCGATCCACTGAATTTCTGCACAAGTCAATTAATATTAAAGAAACGATTAAATAAAATAAAGTGACAGTTACTTTTGTTATTTTGATTATATCCTTGAACTACTTCTCCGCAAAGATTTTATATTATTATGCTGGGATTACATTGACTTGAATGGCGTCTTCGGGAAAAGTTATTTAACATGTTAGGCTATTTTCGTCGCAGACAACCTGGTTTAATAACCCATATAATTAATAAAAAAAAGATTCAAAATGAATATGCCTTTGTATACGCTTAAAGATAAAAAAAAATAACATTGCGTTAAATTCGGATTGTTAAAATTAATATTCTTTATACACTTTTTGATAAAATTTGACAGACTGGGTAGATTGAGAAGTATGAGTCAGGGCGACAAACGAACTCAAGTTTTACAACGTAATTTGTCAAATTTGATACTACAAGATGGTTTCAAGTGGAAAACATGTTACATAATATGTATAATTTATTTTACATTTACATAAAGAAGTCACCAAGTCATCATTTTAAAACTATCGTGTTATTAATTTTTAAGATATACTAATATTTAGAGACATGATTTACAACTTTAAAGTGAACTGGTCTAAAATGGAAGATATGTAATGCTAGAAATAATTATATTGATAGTATTTATTATCATATAACAAAAGAATCGGTATATGGATGTTGTTTGTGTAAAATACATGATCCGATATAACATATAATTATATAGCAGATAATAAAGTGTTCTGGAACAAAATATTATTATTCATTATATGAATATTCATACTAAATTACTCTATTCCAGAAATATCTCATGAAAATTTCAAAATGATTCTTAACAATTTTTGAACTACTTTTACAAAATGCGCCCTTTGTAGACCATTCCACTTTAATTCAGGCTTACAGGTAATGCATGCTTCGTATACTGTTTAATATGTTTTAATAGGTTATTTGTTATATATATTTTTGTATTTTATAGGGTTCATATGGGTTTCTAATTCAGGTAAACTGAACAAAGTGCTTAGAGGTTTTGTTTGCATTCAAATGTATCATATTAAACAATTATTGTTTATTTAACTGGTTATATAACAGCTAAAATTGCATTAATTGGTCATTGATAATAGCGGACATACTTTTTCCCCCCACATCGTTGGAATTTGATAATATTTAAGACTGATTCACCAATTATTATTATAAATTGTATTATAGAACAGAATAGAACGTTACATTATTTATTTCCTACTTTTATTATTGTAACTGTAATCCGCTCTATTGTCAGTGATCAAACCCTCAAATCCTCATCTCCCCCAATACATGAACAATCTTATACACTACTGCATGCATGTCCCCATTAAAACACGCATTGGAACACCCATTTCAGCAAATAACTTTTTTTCCATAAAAGATATGCGAAAGTAAAGGCATTGAACCCTGTTAAAATTTTAAAACGTTCGGTTTATTTGTGAATAAGCATTATACTCGTATTTTGCCAATGACTGTCCAAAAGAAGATAAATGAACGTATTTTCTTTTCAATTTATGGGGTTCACACAATAAAAATCATGGTGCCGGAAATGCTGCACTGCCAACAACAACACATTGCTTTTCTTACTTTTAAAATTTTAGACAGTCAATACTTTGGTATCTTTTGGATTTTTTCTACAAAGTTTCACTACATAGATATATTTATATATTAATATTTAAGTTATTATTTAGGTTCATTATTCTTGATTAACAGTGGAAAGAAAAATATCTTTTGTTAACTATATAAAAATTCTAAATTCAGCAAAACATTTTCAGCACATTGCAGCAATAACTGCTTTAAGCATTTTCGTAACCATATTATCAAGATGTGTTTTCATTTTGGGAAAGGAGTGGGAGGGGGTTGCGGGGAAATATTCTTTCATCGACAGTCTATGTGTTACAAATTGACCCCTTTTTATTCAGACGGTAATAGCAAGTTTCGTCCTGAAATTTTAAGCAATTTTGGCGACTTTTAATGGGTAGTTTTCGTACTTTAATGGTATGTGCGTACAGTAGTGTAAAGATAACAGTAAGTATAAAAGGTATGTAATGCATTTGTTTAACTTATGTTACTTTGAAAATGTTTGAAATGAAAGAGTGCTCTACATCCGGTTTTGGATTGTTTCTGTTATCATCCCTTTTATAAAAGTTGTATGGTGTCAGCCTAAGTTATAATTAAAAAGGTTTTATCTAATTTAATGATGATGTCACTATTGATGATTTTAATGATAAGCCTTTTGTTATTTGTTTGACAGTTTTACTTTGAAACATGAGTGTCTATGCTGTGATTGTATTTCATCCTAATTTTCCTTTTCAGATTTAAAGAACCTTTCACAAATACTTTATTGTTTTTAAAAGTTGTCTTATTTTACAAATTATTGTTATATATGTCTAATAAATTTGTTCTCAAAAGTAAGCATATATACTCCTTTTTTCTTGAATAATTTCAAAATTGCAATTGTAGTATTTATTGTGCATAAACCTTAAGATGTTTTTTTTATTATAAATATTTTAGAAGCTTTAATACTCGTATAATATGGCCTGGCACACACGTTGGTTTAATATATGGAAATTTAACATTGCATGTCAAATATGGCTGTTTTACACTTCTCTTACAAAATCACACGCCTGGTTCCCTGTGTAAGTGACCTTTACATATCAGATCATATCATTATCGTGATTAGCTTGGTAACAAGTTCCCCCAAGTATAATTGATATGTTAATATACATATACTAGGTAAACTAGTTGATGACTTGCAAAATTCTTAACATTTAATGTTAAGTATAAATCACGTAACTAAATTGATGCTAATAACAATAATCAAAAAAGTTTTTATGAAAATATCATTTATTGCACGCGAATATAGATAACGTTCATTTCACAGGTTTCTAAAAAAGAAAATAAAAATGTTGAAATTTGATACTGCAAATAAATCATACTTAATAACTATATCGTCAAAAACACACTTTCTTGCAAAACTGGGTCACGTGTATAGGGTAACGTTTAATTGCAGAACTTAAAATAATTTAATATCCATTAATAGGGAGTACAAAGCAATAATTGAAATAAGATTGCATGCCGGGTAGTTATTTTAGCAGTGCGGTTCAATACTGGTTAATATGGCGTGCAAAATTGATCAAATACAGTATTGCATTTCCCTTTTAAGGTGTATAATTAGACGTACTGTTTTCATTAGAATTCTGAAATAAGGTGTAATTTATATTGATCTACTCCAAAGCGTTAGAAAGACAAAGCAGTTTCTACTTTTGTAAATGCATTATTTTAGATATTTAATCATATTCCTGTATATAATTCCAGGCGACTGAATCAATAATATATAATAATTAAAAGTAAATCGAACTAAATTTATTTCAATTTGCATATTTTCATGATTCCTTCTTCTCATAATCAAATGTTATATACAGAATAATTGTTATAATACCCCATATACGTAATGTAGATATAATATCATATATATGTGTATTTGTACTACCCATATAAGATACAGATATGTGCCAACGTTATGCCCATAAAGCGATATTTGTGACCTAACATACATTTCCAACACACTGTTACCATTTTAATCGATGAAAGAACAGCTGCTGCACCCAGCACCCATCTAACAAAAGAAGACGTATTGACATCCTGAACCTAGTTGTAATAATTTTGATGATTTTACAAACTTTTTTTAAAAAAACAGCATTGTTAAATCGAAGTTGGACATGTACTTTCTAAAAGGATGGTTGATTTTATATTGCCTCGATACAAGAATGAAATATTTTTATTTTTAGTTCATCTCACTTTAAAATTCTGTTACTTTATTTCTATGATATAAAACAGATCTTTTTAACTGTAATAGTTTACTTAATAATGTCTCAGTAAGTTCAAATTAAACTGTTCTATTTTTAACTAAGCAGTCTACAGTCGGCAGGTCCGGCGCATCTGTGCCATTTGATCACGGTCTGCACTGTTCGATAATAACAACATATTTTGAAAAAAATCTCCAAAATACGGTCCACCTATAGATTTGCCAGATTGAAAGAGGGGCATGTCCAATTATATATTCTCTCGGTAAAGGTTAAATAAGACGTTTGGAAATGTATGTATGTCATTTTGAAATAACAATTTTGTCCGCATATACAGTGTCAATTCCGATGATTTATGACCTACTGTAGTATCTATTGTCATAATTTATAAATAGATGAAAAGATAACATTTTCTGTGATTCTGGCAATATATTAAAATAATTTCCATATGTTTATATATAAAATGTTGGTCGTAAATAGATTCACTTGGTTTTATATCTAAAATCTTTCTTATGTGCTCTTTTTGTTCTAAAGAGAAATATATGTTTGCAAAGTAGAACAGTTTTAAAAATACGTAAGGTTTTCGTCTTTATCTATGTCACTGTAAAAATAGTGAGAAATAAGTGATTTTTGATTTAAAAAAGGGTTAATAAATAGTTAAGGGATGTACAATGTATATATTTGTATGTAATAAGTATTTTATATTTTGTAGGCAACGACACTATACTGCCTTGTATTGGAGTACGCGTCCGGTGGCGACCTTCTTGCCTTCATCAAAAATCAAAAGGAAGGTCGTCTCCTAGAAAATAAAGCTCGACCATTCTTTAGACAACTTGTATCTGCTATACACTTCCTGCACGAGAGAGGTGTGGCTCACAGGTAGAATCTTTCTTTGTTTAGAAACATGTATACAGTACACTTGTTCGTACATTTATATATGAGCCGCGTCATGACAAAACCAACAAAATGGGTTTGCGACCGGCATGGATCCAGAGCAGCCTGCGCATCCGCGCAGTCTGATCAGGATCCATGCTGTTCGCTGTCAGTGTCTCTTCTTGTAATAGGGTTTGTGAGCGAACAGCATGGATCCTGATCAGTCTGCGCGGATGCGCAGGCTGGTCTGGATCCATGCTGGCCGCAAACGCATTATGTTGGTTGTATGATTACGCGGCTCATATGTATTATGCACTTTGAGTTAATGAAAACGAAGCCAAACAGCAATCAATTATTCAACTTACAGTCAATATACAATTACGTTATTAACTTTATATGTTATCATATCATAGAATGATACTGTATGATATAAAACTAATTGATATATTGTTCTTATTGCAAAGAACGAACGTAGCAAATATACGTCCCACGTGATTTCCTGGTGAGCACATGACCATAGTATAAATAGTGTGACAAACATTTTATCATTATTAACTCCTTTACAGTCGGGCTAGGATAAAAATAAATCACTATACTTATGTCTCAATTCGTTATTTTTTTTTTATATTAATTTATGCTATGACATTTTAACTATTGATATTGTATATATAAATGTTTTCTATTTTTTCTTCTTTTATTTTGTATTTTTTTAAAATATAATTTAAACACGTGACTTCATGGTGAAAGAAAGACCTTTCAATTAACTGACAGCATCATTTTATCTCAATGTTTTAATTTATATTTGTAATCATACATATCTTAATTAAATGAATTCACGATAAAAACATATTTATTTCATATCAATAACGTGTGTTAAAATAATCTGAAACTGACATTATAGAAATAGAAATCAGGTACAAAACAAAACAATACATTATAGAAGATTTAAGGGAAAGTCTCGTCTTTGGCCAGTTTATCCAATCATTTTCAAAACAATACAATCGAAGGAGTGTCATTTATGACATTTTTAGAAAACTATTAGATTAAATTTAACATGTAACATCGCCATCTCATTTTTTTTAAATGATATAGATTGAAGAACCACACCGATATCAAGGTGGAACAAGTATCTGTTGGGGTGTTTTATACGAACTAGATTCCATTAACGAAATAAACGAGTATTTAAACTAATTTTCTGTCATGATTTTGACATTTCAAAAGTCAATTGCGGCGACTAGATATATTGATCGTGTACAGGATTACTTGTCTGCAAAATGAAAAGATATTTGGTGCCTAGAATTGTTTTCTTTCAGGACATTAAACACGAGTGGCTTATGATTTAAAATATTTAATCGATCTATAAAAAAAATCTAATTCTTTAAGAAATAGTGCGAAAGTCACTAAAATTTATGTCGATAATTGAGCCGCGTCACGAGAAAACCAACATAGTGGGTTTGCGACCAGCATGGATCCAGACCAGCCTGCGCATCCGCGCAGTCTGATCAGGATCCATGCTGTTCGCTTACAAACTCTATAACAAGTAGAGAGACTGATAGCGAACAGCATGGATCCTGATCAGACTGCGCGGATGCGCAGGCTGGTCTGGATCCATGCTGGTCGCAAACCCACTATGTTGGTTTTCTCGTGACACGGCTCATATTACTTCAAAAGTGTATCGGTGTGACTTTGATCCCGACAAACAAACGTAACAATATCCCGTCTTACTTGTTTTCAATTAAGTGTCTTTCATATTGATTAACTGTCACGGGGCGATCATTTATTTAACACTGAATAGGAAACGGGAAAAACAAAACATCACTTCTTAAACCAGTATTTTATTGGTAACTCTGTATCGGCTTTAACAGTGGATTTATTCGTACAGTTTATTTAGATTAATGCTAATCGTTGATGTTACTTTTTCGTGCTAGTTTTTACAATAAGGAATGGCTGCAACAGCTTGCATATGTAATAGATGCACACTTTTCTACGACTACTTTGTTATTTTATTGGGGTAAAATAACTGTTGTATACATTATATAATAAATTAGGAAACAAACAACCTTAAGGCCCGGTCACACAGCTTTTCGCGTCTGTATCGCGGGTAAAATTTCGCGATTTTTTTTTTGCCCGCGGTTGCCCGTGGTGGAAAATGTGCAAAATTGGCTTACCCGCGGTTTACCCGTGGTATGCCCGCGGAACAGTTGCCGGCGACTGTTCCGCGTCCTTATCGCGGGTGAAGCGCGACGGTACCGCGGCCTACCACGGGTATAATAAAGCAGCCGAACCGGGCTGTAGAAATCATAACCGCTCAAGACACAGTCCCGTGAAGATCAAGCTATGGCACCGAAGTAGAAGCCTTGGTGGTCTCCTTGGTAAGGGCTGGTGTCAGTCTCTGCACAATTTCATCGAACATGGCAGGTGGCATTCTCATGAATTTCTGGAAGGCCCTTGGATCTTCATTACGGAGCTCCACCATGAGACGATCGTACAGCCCCAGCTCAGGTCTCCTGCCAATCCAGTCGCGCACCCAGATGTTCCGGACCACCCTCCTCCTCCTCCTTCGTCTTCTTCTGTCAATGAGGAGCTGATGGACCTGTACCACTTGGTTCTGATGCTGCTGGAGCAGCAAGACGAGGTCATTACGGTGACGGGGATCCATGTTCACCCCTTGACGTCTGGAGCACAACTGACGAATGCTCGGCAAATCGCGCTTTTTATATACCTAAAATCAGACGTTGTACGGACGCGATTAGGCCGTGGACAATCGTATTTGGGACGTGTACAAGACGCAATTGAACGTGATAAGGCCGGTATTGGGGCGCGCTGTTTACGCGGAGAAAGGCGTTTGTCCGTGCTTACACGCGGTACACACGCTAATGCACGTGATAACAACGCGGTACAGACGCGGAACAAACGTGCTATGACCGTGCTGCACCCGCGATTACCCGCTAAAATTTCTTGTCCTACCGCGTGTAACCACGTCTTAAACGCGGCTGAGGCACGTCCTAGCACGTTCGTTCCGCGTCTGTACCGCGTCTTTACCGCGTGTGTACCACGTGTACCGCCCGCGATTACCCGCGGTCTAAATTTTTGGGCAGCCCAAAACTTTTTCGCGAGGCCAAGTACGGCTATATCGCGTCTTTATCGCGACCTCAAAGCGTCCAACAGCGTCTGCTTCACCGTTGTTCGCTTACAAACCCTATAACAAGTAGAGAAACTGATAGCGAACAGCATGGATCCTGATCAGATTGCGCGGATGCGCAAGCTGGTCTGGATTCATGCTGGTCGCTAACCCATTACGTTGGTTTTGTCGTGACGCGGCTCTTATGTATATTCATTGCTTTTGACGCGTAGAAACTTTTACATTGGTTGCATAAAAACGGTAAAAACGGACAACGGCCATTCTTGACAGCAAAAAGGTCTTTGTGGAGTACAGCTTATTCTGCTTAAACACATTTTAGAAAAAATATATAGCTATTTTACTTAACTTCTAAATAAATTATGCAAGGGTGAGAGATATAATATATTTTAACCTCTATATTTGTATTCATAATCAACAAAAGTGATATCCCAGTATCTCAACAAACAATTGGCATTTATCTTCTGCCTTGTTAACTTGCAATATATTTACAATCGATATAAAACCGTTCTTGTCTACCTTTTATAACGGTTTCACAGAATAATCGTTTTCCTGTTGCTGCAGTCGTGTTAAAATTAAAGAAGATTTCATTGGTTAATAAATCGGTCAATTGCACATATGGAAATTTTATTTGAAATACGTGGGACGAGGTTAGTTTTCAGACATGAATCTCTTTACCTCCTTAGAAGACGCTTTTTGGTTCGGTTAAATCATTATCACGCTTAATATCTCAGGTAGACCTGTTTATATTTTAATCTGGTCCTTTAAGGGTACCGACTGAGTAGTAAACAGAGCAGATGAAGCTCAGCCGGCACGAATCGTTGGTCTGCACTGGTCGCATGTGTTAATCCAGTCGCCGCAAGCAGGTTAAGGATGAATTTAAAATTGATAAATACGTCATATGTTTCTCTACAGTAAACTTTTTCTGAGCAAGCTTGTCTACGATTTATTTTCTATGAGACTGTAGAAAAAGAACTATGAAAGATTTTTTCTCTATATAAATAATATATGTCATTGCTTTAAAAGCACACAACTCATAATGTTTTAACAGTATACATAGTTAACATGTACTCTTAGAATCAGTGTTTTGCAAACTATTGTGATGCATGAAAAATGGTTTGCATGTTTAAATGAAAGTCTGGCTGAATGTATTCAATGTTTTTCATGTCTCCCATCGATATTTATTCTATATTTTTGCTACTGCTATCATCACTGATTGTCTGGCGATAACTTGTCGTCTGCTATACAATGCTACACAAAGTTGTGGGAATATTGGGCCCTGGACCTGTTTAATTATCACATTAGCTAGACCTAACTCTATCTGCCTTTATATCAGTGCCAACGTAAGTGATGGAATATTCCCGCATGGACAATGCATTATTATTTGTTACATTCCCTATACATAGATTCATTATATCATCTGAATGTGGACAAAATTTACCCGAAACCAGGACCCAGGAGAGTTTGTTTAATTTTCATTACTTTAATGATTGCTACGGTCCTTTTGTTCCATGTGGTCGCCATCATGTCGATTTTGGTATGATGTAGTCTATAGACACTGCGTTAATTATTGGACACTTTAATATACTATGTGTTTTGAAGTGACTCAGTAGATACCTTGTTTTCGTTGTGACTTAAGTTATATAGATTCTGTTCATTACATTTGCTCATACTTTCCCTTGATATTTTATTCTGTAACTTGTTTTCAAATTGAATAGTTTGTTCTAACATGAAACAAATCGATGCATTTTCATTCAGATTTGAGATTCTAATATTAAAACGCAACATGTGATTACATTAGTTGACAGGAAACCAGATTTGTGCATTGATGTTATAATCCTAAATTTGTTAACTCGCATGCATTTAT